GGTATTTTACTACTTGCAACCACTGAAAAAAGAAAACCTCAGCCAGAAACCTGCCTGGTATACGTGTGCCTGCGTCTGTGTATGTGTTTTACAGTGATGATTAATTTAAAAAGCAAGCAATCTTTGCCAGTGGTCTTGCTAAAAGGTGAAATACTTTTACTCTTGTTCAGTTCTGTTAGCTGACGTTAACCTGTGACCTGTTCCCATCTTTTGGTGAGCTGAAGCAAACTTTAAAGCCTCTATGAGGCAAAACAACAACATGCTTTAGTTAAGTCTTAACAGCAAATACCTCTCCTTCTCAGAGCCTTAGAAAAAACTCTCTTACTAACTTTCCCATTATTATCACAGACTTCTTATATTTAAAAAAAAAAAAAAAAGCTCCAAGGATTGCTTTCATGGACTATGTACATAAGTGCAAAGAAGGTGTCTCACACATACGCACCCTAACTGAGACAATGAGTTCACTGCAGCATATGTCTTTTAAACACTGTTAAGGGGTCATTCCACAGTACCTTTCTGGATGGTTTTACAAATATGAATTCACTTCCAAATATGCTCTTGTCATTCTTGAACCCTCATTTGGATATGTTTATGTATGTAATTCCAGAAAAGAGGATTTCTGTAGCTACGGCTCTGCCACTGGAATAAATTTTGAATAGCTAGGAAAAAAGGTCACGTGGTGTATTACAAATGCAGCAATTGTGTTTTGAAGTTTAAATACTGTGGAATAACCCTATCCACACAACACATTCTATAAGCTATAATGCCTGACTCTAGAATCCATGTGTTGTAAACTTTTTGTGTAAAAAGTCACACAAGGACACAAATTTAACTTTCACATGGGAACCTGGGATTCAAAAAACAAAAATCAACCATATCTGCTTTCTGAATTTTGAGCTGTACCTTTTACATGCTCATACTGTCAAAAACCACACACAGTTTACAAGTAAAATCTTCACAAATAAACATATCTAAAGGTAGCCATGTTGTAGTTTTGTTGCTAAAGCAACCACTAAATATAATTAGCTAAAATTATTATTTGTATATAAAATTAAGTTTGTTCTGAAACTGTGAAGTGTAAAGAATATTTATGGGCTATAACTTCTATAAGTCATGCTTCAGTGTCAGTTTAGAACCTATCTAGTTGGGTTGAATACATGTGGTAAAATCTTAAACTTACTCTAATTCTCCTTCAAAATTAAATTCATTAGTTACTTAAAGATACAAAAATAATAAAATAAAAACCATAAAAACTAACAAGATAAATGAAAACAAGGCACCTCACTGGGGAGTTGGTGCTCAGAACCTATATTTGTAATTATATTTACACTTTGATTAGGCTGTCAGTGAAATTTACAAGGAAGTTGTTAGACTCTTTTACATAATACTTGTTCTATGGTCTTTGACAGGCACTAGTAAAATTAAAAATTAGGTCACTGTCTTCCTAAATCTATTCAACAGAATTGGGAAATTGTATTTCCCTCAATCACATTTCCCTGTTTCTGTTTCAATGTGTGTGAAATATAGAAGTGATCAAAAGAAATAGGATTCCAGTTTCTAATCAGTCTGTGCATCACAACCTACACTACTGACTAAAAAAAACTCGGAAACCTTGTGGCTGCATTTTATCTAACAGCATCCTCATCTACACTCTCCAAGGTGGGGATGGGGGAGGGAAATGAACCAAATAACATTCCAGGTAGCACATGGATCTCTCCACCAAATTATTTAATAAAATGCATTGCCAATATTCTTCTTTATTTGGACATCAATATGCTTACTGGTCATGCCATTTAAAAACAGATTCAAATTGTAGAGATTAATTTCTTTTAGATCCTGCTAATGGCAGGGAGGAGGTACTAGCTTTTTCCAAATTGGAGAGCTGGTGAGCTGAGGTTGGCCCTTGGTGAACACAGCCTCGTGGTGCAAGACAACACTTATGGCAAGATCAAAGTGCTTTAGCATGTTCAAAAACGGATGGAGACTGATGGAGTAGGGAAAAGATGGTTTTCCACATCACAATTAAGTACAAATTAGAGACTGTAATTGAGACAAGTGAAATGAAATGCAACAACCGGTTGTAGAATCATGCTCCAATTGCAAAAGGAAATACTGTAATACAATAGCAATTTTATGAATCCATTAAATTTAAATTTAATTTTAATTTCTCTTTAAAATACACTTATGTTATGGTCACGTAGTGCATTTTTTAGAAAAAACTGACACCACTAAAACCCTCTTAAAAGATAACTTTTAGATTATTTAGATTATTTCTCTGTAGTTATGACCTGTTTTATCCATGTTTCAGCACATACACGTTTGTGCATTCTTGCAAAAGGCTGAGAAATGGACAAAAACAATAATTTTGGATAAATTACAAATAGAGGCCATTGTAAAATACAAAGCTTATAAAATGTTAACTAAGAATCACAAGTGATTAGAATTTTATATATACAATTCATTCAGTAAATCGTCATTTAGAGTCACTGATTAGTTTTGTGACTTGTCTTTTTAATTGGAAATTTATAGTCTAATGACTTATCTTCCTCCTTTTCTTGAATAAAGATAATTTGAGTAAGTCATTGCACAACTAGTTAAAGAGTATTATCTTAAAATTTCATTTTTGTCAAAATTCTTTTGCATCTGATCAAAACTTTAGTTCTTCAAGTCTTCCTTCTTTAAATCCATTTACAAAGCAACTTTTAAAATGCCAACAGTATCAAAAATCGTGGCACCAAACATACAACTACCCTGAATATCACTCATTGAACTTCTTACTACAAAATAAGTCATTATCAATGTCTTCCGGTGCTTTTAAAGCAACATGAAAACAGCTGTAAATTCAGTTTACTGTCTTTGTACATCTTCATCAGAAGTTAAAAAAGTTAAATGAGACAGTACATTGCATCAAAATGTCCAAATACACATAAAAGTTCATTTTGCACTGAAAATGTCTCTATGTCCCTTCAGGAATGCATCCAGACGAGCTCAGGTGCATCTTTTCTGGAATGCTGTGATCAGATCTGCCTCTGGAGAGGCGCTGGCACAAGTAACACAAAAATTCAGCTTCATACACAAGTAATTTCACAAAGGTGTAATCTCCTTTCTTGTCTAACAATATTAAGATTTTGGGAAACAGAAATAGTTGAAAGAATCAATAAATGTCAGGACAGCTCTTGTTCTCTAACTCCAGGCAATACTGATAACAGATGAAATGGCTCCATACAAGTGTGATGATCATAACTGGATTGATAATTAAGATCAATGGGATATCAACTATCAAAGGGTTAATTGTATTCTTTTGTATTCTGAGCCAAAATGATCTGCTCTGGGGTGGAGTCTCAAATTTCTGGAGCACAAACAATGTGAACCAGAGGAACACTGGGTGTCAGGTGGTATTTCTAGGTCCAAATGCCATCAAGTACCAGGTAGCGTCATTGTCATCAGCTGTGAAATAGTCTTGCCAACTCTACTGTTCTGTGATTCAAACACTACTAGCTCTCTTCAGATATCCTAAAGCAGGTTTTCTCTTTGCTTTTCACTTTCATGAAAGGAGAAAACTAATCCTGTTTATACATATGAAATTTGGTATTTTATACTTTCCAGTGGGAGAATAGTTTTACAGGAAATAATAAATCTAAGTGGATGCAAATTATCATGTTTTACCATGTAATAATAATAGTAAACTTAATAATTGATACAGAAGATAGGCCACATACCATCAGAACTAACTACTATTTTACTTGGTTATAAAATTATTTCATAGGGATGAGTAATATGAATTTAGCTCAGCACTGTGGAGTATGAGACACTCTGTCTTCATCCAAAGGAAGCTAAAACTTCTCCAGTACAATTTTCAAATACGTAGTAAGACAAAGAAATCCAAACAAAAAGGCTTACTTATGATGTCAGAAACTGTAGTGAATAAGGTTTGGGAAGGGCAACATTTGACATATATCACAGAAGCTTGCTCCTTCTCTGAAGTGTTTAGTGAAACTAGAAACTCAGTTGAACTTAAGTTAAAGACATCTGTGCACCTCCTTCCAAGAACTTTTAAATAAATCCAAGAATAATTTTATAAGTCTTCCTACCCCCTCCACACCTACCATTTCTCCAAACCTGTACTCAGGTTCCAACTGTGATCCACAGAAGAGACTGTACATTTGGGGAGGAAAGGCCTCACTTGGAACCAATTCTCTTTCACCCTGACTGACTTTTGCTAGATTGCATCTTACTTATTATTCAAAGAGTAGTCTAAGAGCATGAGCCATTTGCATTTGGAAAATGGCACTTGTATAAAAGGTTACATTGCGGTGGTTTTTACACACTTTCCTTCAATATGTAAAAACTATCTCCACACCTCCTCTCTCCCTATTTAATTTATAACCTGTAATTAGCATACCTTTAAGCCTCCAAGTACCAATTTCACAGCTGAAGATGACAAATAGCTCCATTTTAGACACTCAACCTAGGAGATAGTATCCTTGAGCCACAAAAAAAATGGAATGGGAACTTTACATAATTTTTAGCATAAATGCTGAAAAATTCGTTCAAAGGCAAATTCTTGTTTTTCAAGCTATTTAAGAGGGGTAAAATTAGGGGTTAATGTTTTAAGAAGTTTCCTGGTTTTTGCAGGTAATTATTTCTCTCTCACAAAAATCCAGTAATGTAATCGTATTATGCAAGGTCAGATCTGCAGGTGCCAATTATACACATGCATGTTTATGTGTGCAGGTTTTGTGCACACTCAAACATGAGGACTTTGAAATGTTTGCCCCTAGAAACCTATAGAAATATTTTTATATAGAGAGAGCATATTAACATTAATCTGGTATGTTTTTCAAGCACATGTATTTCTGTTTCCCATTAATAACATTGCAGTTGAAATCATTTTAGTTGAAACACCACACTTATACAATAAACCACTGTAGTATGTAAAAGCCTAACACAACACACCACAACACACCACAATACAGTACAATACAATACAATAACAGGGGAAATGGTATTAGATATATTTGTTACATTCTAAATCAACCCAATAGATTACTGTGTAAACAAAACAGTAAGGTAACACTTCAAAAAAGACGAACATTTATCCACCAAGAATGCCCAGTAAACCAACAGTTCACTGTGGATATCTACTCAGCATAATGGTTACTGGAAAATCACAAAGAATAATGTAACAAATCACAAATTCTTATGATCATGTTCTATCTAATAATTCAAATAAGACAGATGGTAGTTATTAGTTTTCTATTTACGTTTTAACAGCTTCATTGATTGTGTAATGCTTTATTTTTATTTTAATTAGTTGGTTGTTATGTTTGTTTTGTTTAATAGATTGAATGCACCACACTTATGATCGTGTTGGTAGAAGAGGACAAACGAGAATGAGAATATATATAGAAAGGCCGAATGGAGGTTCTCACGGAGAGATTCTGATACTCCATACCTCTGTTGTTCAGAATTTCAACTGAAATGGAAAAAAAAAAGAAAGAGAGAGAAATATTAAAGGGTTATTGAAGTAGGTATCAGGATACATGGTTCTTGTTCCAGTTCTGTGTATGAACTATGCCAAGATATTCCCCATTCTAAATTCCACATTCTACATCTCAGAAAACGCGGCTGTTGGAAACGGTCATCCAAGAGTCATAGGCTAGAATGTTTGATGGCTCTCATTAAGTGCTAATGTGGAGAGTGGTCTTAAGTTAATACAGATGCACTCCATCATTTAAGGCATCAGTTACACAATGCCAAAACTCTTTGACAAACATTCACCCATTCATTCATTTCCCTCTGCAATTACATATTGAGAGCATCTGTTTGATACCAAACATTTTAAAATATGAAATTATTAAATACGTTAAACTTCTGTTTGTTTTGGAGTCATGCAGAATTAGCCTAGATGTGAAACCTAGGTGTGCAGTGTTTCACAAAATTCCATTTTGGACCTTCGGATAAATTTTCAACAGCCGTTACATACTGAAGTCATTGTGTTCTGCCAATACCTCCAAATTTTTGAATAGAATAAATGCATTGAAAAATGAATCACTATTCCCAAATCGGTAATATTGGAAAGCTAACTATCGTCAATAACTTTTGTGTATCTTGATGTGAACCACCTCATGGGGCTCAGCCAAGTGTCTGCAAAATCTGTATTTTCATTTTTGGTGCCATTTCCAAGTTGCCACTATCCCAACTGATACCCCTGCAAACATTGCAAGTAACAGTTACTTTACTGATTCCATGTACTCAAAAGTGTCTTTTAAAAACATTCCTTAACATTGAAGGGACATATTTATCTCAAGTACAGCTATAGGGTTTGTCCAGAACAGTTAGTGCTCTGGGTAAGTGTGTTCTGTGCAGGAAAGAAATATTAAGCAGGTTCTGGGGAACTAGTCCATCAGGAGAATGGAATTATTGCCTCCATCAACCAAATGAAACATTCCAGTTGTGAAAACTTCAAAATTTCAATGACTAATGTATGCAATTCAGAATCTGTGCACTTGTTTAATAAGCCCCTATAACTAATTAAGATACCTATGAGTCTTAAGTGGCTTCAAAAGTCACATGTTCCAAGCTAATGATTGCTCAAATTAAGTGTGTGCTATTACAGACTCTGGACCAGGCAAAGGAGATCAAGAGGGAAGGGGGAAAATTCAACAACAACAATGGCAACAACAATGACAACAAAAATTATCTCTAAAAAGCCGTGGTTTGAATGAAAATGATCATATACCTAAATTATGTTACTCAAAACAGCTGGAGCAATCCTGATTGACTTACATAGGAAGCAACACAACAGCGGAGTATAAAAGCACTAGTTTCTGCACTGTCATAGGGGAAGTGTATTGCTTACTGTCTTTAAGATAATTTCAGTCAAATTGTGACAAAATTACTTTGCTTTATCTCCATTAAATAATGAAGCTAGAAAAATGTTAAAGAATTACAATTCAAGCGTGATTTATGTCTTCGGCTAACAAATCATACCCCTTTAATAATAGGACAACATTTCAGAACTTCCAAGCTCATTGGGAAAATAGAGTACCAGCTTCCATTTCTATACAAGCATATTTGCTTTTCATTTTTCAATTGGGAAAATTTGGAATGCTTAAATTAAACTCTAAGTTATAAGCAATTCTATTCATTAAAATATGCTCCAAACTCTTTGGCAATTGTATAAATAAAAAACATAACCTATAAATATTACTTATATTAATACTTAAAGAAACTTACTGTTCTACTGGTAACTTCTACATCTGAGAAACAAACATGCTGCTATTCAGTTCATCTATTGATAATTGGGGTATCTATAGTAGTAAAAAAGATTTTAGATTAAAATAGTTTCTAGAGAGAATTCCATTTATTCTGTTCACTGCTTGGACATGGTAATCAATAACCATAAATCAACTCTACAGAACTTTTAGACCCATTAACCATATCCACTAGTAGCTAATTTTGCAAAGCACAGATGAGAACGTGGTTTGTTTCCCCAATGAGTTAATGCTCTGTGTGCTGTGTAGTTCTCATGCTTGTAACTGACACAGCAGAGATACGGGCAGTCTTTCAGCATGGTTACCACTTTAAATAAGGCAAACCAATGATAATATTACACAGTAATTATCACATGTATTGCCTTACAATTTCAAGACTTCTGAAAAAAAGTTATAATTCATTGTCTAACTCTGATTGGAAATACCTAAAGCAAGTGAAAATCAAAACAACACAAGCACATCAAATGTCAGCATGAGAAGGAATTTCTGATGCAATCACTGGGTAATGATAGAAGTTATCTGTGTCTTGGAAAGAAATGCACTATCTTGCTTTCTTTCCAGTGGATCTGAAGGTAAAGGTGATGATTACTAAGTGAGAATTCAAACACAATAACCAAAAAATGGTAGTAAAATAATATAAGCTCTCCCTTTGACTAATGAGGAAACATTTAAGAAATATTTAGTATATACATTTGAGGATTGGTGTGGCAGCAACAACTGTATACCTAACATATCAAGAGTGACATCTGGGAACTGATTCAAAAGGAGAAAACTCTCCTGATCATCTTGGGATGAGTAGTAAAGCAGATACATCCCTCTAGAATATACAACCCGTCCCCAACCATCTAAATATAACGACTACTTAATAAACACCTAAGAAAATGGACCAAATCTCTCACCAATCCAAAAAGCATATACTGTGCTTAACCCACACACTGTAGTTAGCTAGGTCTGAACAGGTGAAATAAATGGCCAAACCTGATTGCCTGTAGCCGTTGCAGCGAACGGAACGCTGGTGGCAGGTGTTGTCGCTGCGGACACAGTGGTAGGTGTAGCACCGTGCATCATGGGCACTTTCAGTAGGAAACCATGGAAGCAACACACAGGAAGTTGGAGCATTTATGCAACCATGACATAAACGACGTATGGGGCATGGTGGGTATCACAGCAACAAGCCATGTGACATCATCATGATGGATACACCAAGGTGCAACATGCAACAGTCAGTGCAAAGCAACACAGCATGGAAGGTGGAAAAATTTGAAAAGAGAAAAGGGGAAAGCCAATTATAGTTATCATTAAGGAAAACAGAATCATTCTCAACATTTAGTTAGTTTTTGAGCAGAATCACATTGTAGTTGACGCAAAAGGTCAAAATTTCAGAAGGAGTTACACTGGGGGACATGAAAAATCTGATTTTATCAAGACTATCTATCTGAATAACTGATTAAGCAGATAAGTAACTGGGGTGCACATACAAAATGGGAAAAGAGAATTGTAAATCGTGTTTGGGTTCACTAAGTTATGGACATGAGTGCTGTCACTGGATTTGCAGGTGCAAAGGGACAAGTTACATGTATACTTACCAGATATGCATGCAAAAAAAATGGTAGTTCAAATGGTAGATATCTGGGAGGGGAGCAGATATGAAAAATACAGTGGACTAGGCATGCAGGTTTCTAAGTATACCTAGCAAACCCCTTGGAAACCCTGGCTATTCTTCAAACAAATATGCAGGGTACTTCATAGTAAATATCTGACAAAACCTTATCTTCACTGCAAATATTACAGCTACAAGCAGCTGCAACATCTCTTTCAGCATGTTTTCTCTGCCTTTTCTAGTATCTATCTCCTTTTGAAAGCTTTTTGGATCTTTTTCATTTCTGGCTCATTGTGGGAAGCAAACCAAGAAATTAAAGTGTGGATGAGAATGTATGAATGGTAAAGCGTGCAAATACAATAATTTCTGTCTATATTGATGGAATTCAGGTTTTCTGAACATCTACAGAGGTGAATGGCCTGGAGAGAGGAAGATCAACAGTTGCAATGTCATAGAAATCATAAATATACCCCAAATGGTGATTAACTGATACTCTGTAGCTTCCTTTTGCCTATTTTGGTTATTGATTACCTATACCTGTCCCTTATTGTGTCACATGCTAATTCTAAAAACACTGGCTTTCCATAGGGGAGCACAGCAACTGTACAGGCAGCAGCACCACTGAAGCATGCAGTTGACATTCCTGCACAGAACTCTTAGATGCGAGGACAGGAGCGCACAATCACAAAATGTGGAGACAAAGACACATTTTATGAACTTCCATGCAGAGTCTGTTCTTCTAATCATATGCGTATAATGCTCCTGTTAGTATCAAGGGAAATGTCTTTCATTCCTACAGGGGACAACCAATCTCTGAATAACAGAGGCCTTACCTCCGCCGCCAGGGTTCACATCTTGCTATGTTAGCGAGTGCTACTACTATGTGGCTGTCATTTTGATCTTCTATTTTATCTCAGTAAACCCATTAGTTCCTTTTGGGCTCTGCATCTACACTGCTCAACCAATGGGGTGGAGATCAAACTGTTGCAAATTCTCTAAAAGGATGAAGGGAGCAGGATTAATGTGAGATGGTGGGCTGGGGTGAGCTAATTCCTCCCTGCATCCAACAGAGCTATTTTCCCTTGGTCTGTTCCTGGTGCACATGGGGGGCTATCTGAGCTGTGAACTCCCTAAGAGTTCCTCTTGAGAGGAAGCAAGTCAGTTTCTCACTGTCTTCAGTGTTAGTGGCAAACAGTGGATTCAAGTTGGCTACCATATTGTATTGGTGACTTATTAAAGGATCTGTGTGTAACCAGTTGCTAAAAGTCACATACCGCCAATGAGTCATTTTGAAATGATTCTGTTGTGTCACAGAACACTAAAGAATGCTTGAGATTCACTTAACTCATCCTTTCTCAACATTTAGCATTGAATGAGTTAGATATTATGGATAGCTTTTGTTAGAGGAATTCTTGTCATATTTTACAAATTATATGTTTGAAATATTTGATGACTTCTTAGTAACAGATGAAGTTAAGAACACAACTCACTGTTCTAGCTAGAAAAGAAATGTTTTGAAATATTTCGGCTGTAATATTTTAGGGCGAAAATGGAGGCATGGCAGGGTCAGTGTTTGGCCACAGTGGCAACCCAGAGGAGTTGAGAGTGCAGAACTGTTGTGATTCCACAAAGGCAGGAAACAGACAGCACCATAATCAACCTTAAATGCTCAGAAAATATCCAGCCACATCATTCAGTCACGCATCAATTTCATAGACACAACACAAAAGGACTTTTTTCAGATTAGAAAAAGTTGAGAATTGTTGTACAAAACCTACCAATACTTGGAGTGGGTGCCATGCACAGTATTGGCCCTGTACACCATGCAGAAAAGCGTGAAAAGTAAAGAAAAGAGATATTTCATTATTAAAGCTTTATTGATAGGAATAATTTTTAACTAGAAAGATATTCTTTGCAATATTAATCAGCACATGCAAATCCAGTTATCTCCCATGCTTACAATTATAGCTTAGTTTTAAGATCACAAACCCAGGTAATCAAAGTAATTCTTGGATTCTTAGGTATTAAAATGAACATTATTTTTGAAAAGAATTACCTCATTTGAATTACATATTTATTTTGGACCAATACATCCTAAGTCACTTTTATCATGAAAGGAAGAAGAATTTTAATTCATTACATATAATTAAAATAGGCACTGGGATCTGGCACCTGGTGCTCATATATCTATTCAGAGTGATCACCTACCATCACTTGTCACCTTCACCTTGCAATTGAGACTTTACTATAACATATGGCAAGTAGACTTTTCATTAAGAGGGGGCTCTCAACCTGACAGGGTTTTTCTTTTCTTTTTATTTTGCTATTAATTAAAGAGAAAAGGATTCTTCTGACATTTTGGCTTATAAATCTATAATTGAAATTGGCTAAATTGGGCAAAAAAGTATAAAAATTTTAATAATTGTGTGTCTTTTGCACAATGGCTTCTCTCAAACTTCATTAACTGATTATTTTATCATTAACTGATTATTTTATCAGCTAAGCAACAGGGCATCTCAAGTTCAGGTATACTATACTAAGTGTTTACTATGTTTATATAATTAACAAGGCTTTCTAATTGATTTTTAGAGAATGTATCATTTTCATTTCATAATAATTTCCAAACCAGGGAATTTATACCGGTGAAAACAAATTCCCAGTGTTTAGTATTTTTAATTTAATTCCTAACAAACTATATGCTTATTTTCAAAGTACTGAACCACTGGAAGAAAATTATCTACCCTGATATATAATATTTGTTTGAACACAATTCTGGCTTAAATTTTCTATACAATTTGGCTCAAAACTGTTATGCTATTAAATATAGTTGACTCTAAGAGTTTAAACGTTCATATATTATACTGCATTGCACAGTACTGTAATATAAATTCATTTTATACATATTATACTATACTATAATTTAAGTTTATGGACAGTTTTATTATAACTACTTTTGACATGTCAAAGAACATAAAGACTATATTTTTGCAATCCTGAAGCTGGGAAAAATTTTCTTTAGTTGACTACATTCTTGCAAACTTGATTCTCACATTTTATAGATATTGTGGCAGAATAGAGAAATCTCGGGTTTTTTTTTTTTTTTTTTAGTACTTTTTTCTTACATTGTTTTGGAGGGCAAGCCACTGTCTGTGAAAGTGATACCTAAGAGTCAAGGAATTAGTTTGAGGCTGAACCAAGTAAATGGACCAGAAGCAGCACAATATAAGAATTGCTAAGAAGAAACCTTAACAGTGTTTCCCAGTTTGATTTCAAACCATTACTTTTCTGGAATTCTAGGAAAAGTCTATTCTAAATACTAGCAGATCCAACTTAAATGCTTTCTTTTGTTTCTAATCAAAATCCCTGGAGGCAGTTGTGGCATAAAAGCTCTCTGAGTGCTGGTGTGCACCATAAACCTTCCCAAGAGCACTAAGCTTGCAGCCCGGGCCCGGTCCTCACCTGCAGGGATGAACGCCGGCTGCGGGAGCTGCAGGTTAGCCAGAGCCTGTTGGCAGTGAAAAACACCGGGATTAAAGACCGGGGTGGCACCATTGGTCTTTTCAATTGCTGATCTCTTTGGTATCAGTTGAAGTGTGCCAGGCTGAAGGGCCTGAGGAAGAAACATGGGTTAATAAATACAACGAAAGAAAGCAAAGAATGTACCCAGACCCAGCAAGCATCAGTTAGCTACGGCTCAGCCTGAACCTTTGCAAGCAGAGCCATCGAGCAAGACATTCAACAAGTAGTGGCCCCACAGCAAGGCAGCCAGCTGCAAAGATGAAGCCATTCTTAGTCCAAAACAGAAAGTAAACACATGAGGGGGGATGGGATGGGAAGCTTTGCAACTTCACTAATTTAGGCAATAAATTATTGGAGCAGGATGTGACAGGAAGCTGTGAACAGCACATAATCCTGTAAAATGAAGATCTCAGGGAAGCTCACCTATTACTCCATTAAAATGAGATTAGCAGAAGCAACCTATATAGCAGGAAAGAGATTTCTGCCAGTTAAAATCTGATATGGATTGATGTGATAAATGGTATGTAGGTGATAACACATGTCAGTAGAGCAGAGTTTGATGCTCTTGCTTCATAAAATATAACAGTGTTCAAAACAGGACTTCAGGTTCAAATCCTGTAACTCTGTATTTCCCAATTGACATGCAAGGGAAACACACATGTATTATCCCCTCCCCCCATACAATACACAGTTAGCAAAATATATGCCCTTCCCATTTATAGAGGCTTGCTGTGCATTTCAGTATGTACCTACTATTTGCTTGAAGTCTTTGTAAAGGTTTAATTCTATAAGGCATTAATTAGCATTTTAAAATCCTCTTTTCATGTCTACCTTTCTTTCAAAATCCCACTTTGCTTATAATACTCCCCTGGATCAGATTCACTGACATTATCTAACTTCCCCCCCCCAACCCCCAGCAAATAAGTCCCAGCCACAGCAATTAGGTATGGCCCAAATTCTGAAGGAGACAGGAACTCGTACACAAGAACCAGCCTTCCAAGTGCAAAAGGGGCATTCAGTGACCTCCTTATTCCTGTAGATGATGACAGCCTAAGATACCGATTTCTATTTTCTTCTGATCACTTAAAAAATACATAGAAGCTACTTTCAGTGAAGTCAATCTACATGAATCCCTCTTTTACAAAGTGTTTCATCTTTGAATCCTTAAAAAGTGTAAAAAGCTTAAATTTCATCAATTCTCCTGTGATTAATTTCACCTCAAACAAATTACTATAGGCCTTTGATCTCATGACTAAGACTCTGCGCTGATCCACTACTTAGAAAGGAATTTTATATTGACATTCACAAGTGGTCAACTGAAGACCTACTATCTGATATTTAACTCTACCTGGAAATTTGGGGCTCACTTTTAACATCAAAACACACCTAAATCATCAGAAATGGGAACATGCATGAAGGCCCCATGCCTGAGAAGCCACTCGTTGTACATCCCAATGCACACGAGAGCTTTTATTTTCAGGGGGTCAACTCTCTCCCTCCATCCTGTTTCTGAACTCTACACCACCAAACAGAAATAATCCAAAAATTGGAGGCTTACATTCTGCATGGAACATTCTGGATTCCTTGCTATTATCACTGCTTAAACTTTCCTCATTCAAAAGAATTTTTTATGTTGATTTTTAAAATGTAACGTATTTATGTATAATTATTTATTTACATCATTGTTCATTTTTGTACAATATTTTATTCCCCACCCCATTCAAAAGAATTTGGAACAAAAAAACTTGGTAAAATCTTTTCCAATATTCAATCATGGATTATGTTGTCCAAATCAAGAGAGAAAATGAGTTTGTTCCTTTTTGGTGCTTACATTTTCACAAACACTTGGGTTCAGTTCTGACAGAATAGAGAACATGGGACTTTGCCTTCCAAGCATAACCCGTGAGAAAAGCTTAGAGAAATCTCTGGTATCTATTTTAGAGCAAAGACCTTGGAATCACACTCATAGGGAAAAGGGACTGACTTCTTTGGGGTAGTAAGTGTGAGTTCCAGTTACAGCAAAGTAGATTTCGCTCGCTCCTCAAGCAGAAGACCGGAATAAATAGGGCTACTTGAAGATAAATGTCTCTGTCTTACGAAAAGGTAAGGTATCTGTCATGGGCTTCCAAGTCAGACAGGTGGCTTCCCCCCCAGTCAGGAAACATGAGGTTTTCTCAGGATTTTGTCCCTTCTTGGGGCTGTGATACACTATTACATGAAAAAAAGGCCCAGGCAGGGGCGCAGGCGGTTGAGCACAGCGCTGTGAAGCTGCCCGCAGCCTCTGCAGTGCCAGTTCAATCCCCGCCAGCTGTGGAGCAACCCACATGGCGCAGCAGACCTCTCCTGTCTCGCCCGCTGCTCCCCTCAGCAGTGTATTTCAGTCAGTCTGCCTGTTCTGTTCCCCACTCTGTGTCTGGTGAGTCCTCTCACCCTCCCGCGCATCTGGCCTGTACCCCAGCTCTTGTATACATAAAATAAAATCTTTAAAAAAAAAAAGCCCAGGCAGAAAAACAAATAGCAAAACAATTGACAGCTGCGATGAATTGAAGTCATCCTAATTTCTATTTCCCAACCTATCACACTGTAGTGTTACATAAACATTTTTTATTCCTCCTTCCTTTTGGTGTTGCAATGAACTAACTTCTCCCCAAAACCGGCTTGCCAGGGCAACGCAACAGCCAGACCTATTCTCCCATCTCTGCAGAAAATCCGCCCTCTCGACCCCACCATGACTGGCTTGAAACCACTCCCCTGGAAGGAAAGAGAACCTTAATCTTTGGGAAATTAGAACCTGTTCACCAGTGCATCTTCCACCCTGGGGGTTTAGAGTGGGCTGCAGGATGTTACTAGCTAAGTGTGCAGAGAGGGGGCTCCAGAAGCGGGAAGTGAGCTGTCTGCCCTTTTAGGATATTAAGGTTAATTAGGCTATAAAAGCCACTCAAAATAATTTCCTGTTTAAATTATGTAAGTTACTCATTGTTTAAAAATGGAAGAAAGGCACAGTAGATTAAAAGCACCAGGAAAGCTTTTTAAAACAATTATCTTGAGAAAATCTTAGCGAATAAAAGAAAGTAAGATCCTCTCTGTGGTTTTTGGCTGCAGCTGGTCATATTAAGGTGCACGCATGACTGTTCAAGGTGATGGTTGTGGGACAGGAGACAAACGGAGGGACGTGCTCCCCACTGCTTCCCAATCGACCAGCCCACAGCCCCCCTGTGTTTACCATCGCCGTGGCGGCCGAGTGGTTCATCTGGTGATGCGCTGCCTTGAGTTTGGCTTGCAAGTGTGCAGGAGGATGAAAGTACTTGCATTTCTCCCGGGAGCATCGACCTTTGATATAATCCATGCAGATGGTCACAGTATTATCACTCGCTTCGATCATGGACATATCAGTGGGATGAGCATAGCGGCAGTCATTTTCCCCGCGGGTACAATTTCCACGCTGAAATTCTCGGCAAACCTTGAAGAAAAATAAACACACACCACATTGGTGGGTAGCTTTCATTTACTTTGTCAGCGAATGCGAGAGCAATACTAGACATTATTTTGTCATGCATTTGGGAAGAAAAAAGTAAAAGCTGTAGTCTCTAAGATGTAAACATAGACAAATTGTCTATTCCTAGAGAAAATTCTATTCTTCCCAAACACAAGTTGCCTGTTTTCCAGACATTGAAATAAAAGTGCTGAAAAGGGTTTCTGAAAACCAGTTTTGAATCCTCCCCTAAATAGACAGCCTAACACGCAATGAGTTCAGTTTGCAAGAGGGGATTATTTTGCTAAGGTCCAAGATGAGTTTTCATCACACAGCTCTGTGCTTTTCCGCAGCTGATTTGTGGACCATGACTGAATTACATGATTCCATTACAATATTTTACCAGGCATTTAAGGGGCTGCCAAGGGAGCCGACTTTGAATGATGAAGTCCTGTTTTTGTTTTTGTTATTTTTTTTTTTTTAATTTATGAAGAATGACAGTTAAGGGAAGGCTGCGAGACTTTCATACATCAAAAAGCTTGTTGAAATTTCGACTTCTTTTCTCTGGCATCAAGGGATACTATTATCTACTACATCATTCTTCAAATGGGAAAAATAGTTTAGAGACTCATTTACATTCTGCATTCATAGAGTTAGATGAGTCTACTTTTTTCCCCCTGTTGGATTATTCAAGCAAGCAGAGATGAACAAATATGGTGGTACCAGTCTGTGAAGCTGGAGCCTACAGACAAGGACCATTCCCACCAGACTCCCTGGGCCTGTCTCCCTCCTGTGCACATGAACCCAAGCGCTGCATAATGGGCTACGGCTGCTGTAGCAAAATACATTTTTATTTTTCTGAGATCGTACTCCATAAGCTAGAAATCCAGGTGCACATCTGGCTTGGAGAAGGTTGCTTGGGCATAAAGTTAAATCCACTTGACACATATTTACATATTTCTACATAAATACCTCCAGTTTATCTGAACGCATCAGTTTTGGACCAGCAGCTCCGGGCACCGGGAGAGGCGGGTTTCCCGGAATCAGAACCGGTGCATTTGGTAAAAGTTCGGCAGGAACCAGGCCCATTCCAGGATGAGGTAAGTAAGGGTTGAAAGTCATGGCAGGGTTAGCTGCGAGTGGTGCATTCACCGGAAAAGAAGGCTGCATATTGAAAAGAGAGGGGCGGGGGGAGAGATGTCAAACAGCTTCCTCCTAGAGTCCCAGGCTGAAAACTTGAGCCACATCAACATTTGCCTCCATTTCTTCTGATTTATTTGTCATCGCATCCCAATTCCCATACAGGAGTTGCTTGTAAACCAACAAATCTCTTTGAGCAGCAACTTCACTATCAAAGTGATTAAAACAAGCCACATATGGTCCCACACACTTGAAGAGGTGGGAGGGTATATATTTTCAATCATATACCATGTTGTGTATCAATGTTACCTCAATACAAAAATGAAAGTAAAAATTCTTTTAGTTGTGGTGTTCAAAATGGGGGGGGGGAGCCACCTAATTTTATCAGTCACAGATTAGCCAACACATTTCACTGATGGAGCTTGTTCCCAATGTGTTCACTCCAGCACTTCCTTTTGGCCTAAAAACCACGTCACCAGAAATATCTCTGTGGTACGCTGCCTGGTCTCACTCCTTCTACAGGCCTGGCTTCCCAGGCAGACTGCAGGCTCTCCTGAAAGCTCCCTTCCTTCCATCCAACTCCGTCTTCTTCCCCATTAGCGCCCCGTGGCTCAGAGGCTGCCTATCCCACCACTGTTCCTAGCTGCCCCACCAAACATGGCTTCTCTTCTCGACCCACTACCAACCATGGAAGACAGAAAGGAGTGGAGGAAGAAAGAGGTAGATTTCTAAAAAGTGAGTGCTGTTTAGCTAAAATGAAATTGGTATGGTCAGTTACCAAAAAAAAAATAGGTCTTATGTCACAAACTAATCTGACTTGCTTAGCCTCGTTTTGATCCAGAGGGCCAGATGGTATCCACAGTTCACAAGAGGCCCTGGAAATGCTACAAGGATTCCAGTTAGGCAGAAATAGATAAGATAATGGGATTTTAAGTTATACAAACCAGAGAAGAACTTGTAAAGAAAAGCCTTAGAAATGCAACAGGCTATTACTGGTGTTTCCATTTGTGAAGTCTTAATCTCCGAGTTTGATAGATATTGTGTTTATTATCTGTAACCACATAACTTCTCCCTTTCTGTGCTGGTTTCTAGTTTGTTCCACATGTGAGTGTCTTTCCAATGTGGTTATTACTCCTTTGACAGTTCTCTTGTCTCTGCCAGAGTCCCCAGTATCAGTGAATGACTGCTTGACTGATATCATCAACCATAAAGCTTAAAATAAATGTAAACATTTTAACGAATTAATAACAAATCATGATTATATAGTACATTTCTAATGGTGACCCTGGCAGGTAGGTAGTGCACTGCTGTGCAAGTGAAAGCATCTCACTGTATGCTACTAATAGCAGGTGTTCATTCTTGCTTTTTTATTTGTTACACTAAAAAAGTAATGAAGCCATTGCACTGCCAAGCTGTGCCCCCCAACTCCTGCTAAAATACGTGAATAGGCACAGATCTAAGTACAGGTAGAATAGGAGGCCTTGGATCACGAAGTAAGGGGCACTATATCTTCACTGTCCCATACTCAACTCCCATACTCAAAAATTTCACCAGCACAGCATTCTCCATAAAGTCACTTGGAAGGGGCCACACCCAACTTCGAAGGGAAGGAAGGCTTCCACATTAACATTGTGTCTTGGGCAAATTTATTAAATTAGCTAATTGGCACATTAGAAAGAATAGAAAGAAGATGGTCCTCCCAAACTAGCAAGACTCACTCAGGTGAGTAGAGAAGGCATGGCAGTCGAGAAATTTGAGGCAGAGGGCAAACCAAGGTATCAGGGAAGATGACGGAAGTGATTTAAGGTTTAAGGACAAGCAACCAAGGGCTGACCCAGACTAACTAGGCACCGAGATGTCACAGGCTCTAGGGGGCATGTCATAATTCTCACAGAATGAAAAATGAAGCCCCAGGGATTAAATGGTGGGATATTATTTTACGCAATGAGATGGAAATCTCTTGGAAACAGGCACTCAAGTATGCTTCAATAATATGGCAGACTTTATCGATCTGATGATGTATGGTCATCTCAAAATCTACAAGAATCTCTAATGGTATGAACGCCATATTTGAACCACATAAGATCACTATTTAACTTCTTTTTTCTCTCTGACTTGCATAGTAAATTTCTCACTGAAGTCACCATCCTATTGTCCCTGGTACTTTTTACTTGGCCCTCTCACAGCATGTTAGTTAAACATCTACATAAAAAGTGCAAGGGGTTTGCTGAAAATGTTCAAATACTTTTACAGGTTTTACCACAGACTACGCTGAACCATCTCTAGGTTTTAAAATTAGTATTGTGTGTTTATAACCATTTCCTCTTTGAATATAAACTTCGTTCTGTAACACTGCTGAGAAGAAGCACGCTTTTCTATTCTCAACCCTGGGCCATAGGTAGGAGCTACTGAGATACTTCATGTGTATTTTCAAATGGATATTTCTGTTTTTCCACCACCACCTCTGCACCAGGGTAACTTGTCAAATTTCAAGAATTTGAACACTGAAAGGCCTAATTTTGGCTAATAGCCACCTCCTAAGTCAAGTAGCTTGCAAGCTCAGAGTCAGCTGTAACAAGCATTTGGAATCCTGCCTCTACTTACACTGTAGCCCTTGATGTCAGCTGAGCTAACATGAATCTATCTGTGGATAATCTTTATTTCAAAGAGAGAGGTTTCCAACATGTTGAAACTGATTTCTATTGATAGCCTGAAATGTTCTAGACACTTCAATATGCTTCAGCTATTCATTCTAAGTAAGTCACTAAACTATTTACTAAATACTTGAAAACATGAGAAGGCTTTTCCTCTTAGAACCAGAAATGAGATTGTTTCTCTGAGTTTTATAAAGCCATCAAGAATGGTGGCAATAAATGACTTTAAGAATACAGAGATCTCCTAGACAATTATTTACCCTCAGTGTCTCTTAGCAGTACTAGCTCTGAGGGTAGAAATTCCCACAAGTTCCCAGGGACTTGCGCAATATCTAGGAATTATAAGGGCCTTGGGAAATGCCCCCTACAAACCAATGAAATGCCTAATCTTTTTTGAATCCTGGACTTCTCCGAGGGTCAGATGCAAGCTTTGGAACCTATCCACAGAATAACTGGTATGTGCACAAAATGTCAAAATGTTGTAGGTGATTATCAGGAAGTTTAAGGGCCTCGTGAAATTCAACCCTGGTGGGTGAGGTTATGGACCACTTGCTATTTAAGAACCTGTGTTCTATAGTTAGCATCAGCAAACTCCATCCCATGAGCCAAAGCTAGCCTGCCTGGTATTTGTATGGCCAGAATGGTAACATAGGTTTATAGATTTTTAAATGGCTGGCAAAAAGGAAAAGATGAATACTTATTAACACATGAAAACCATAGGAAATTCATATTTCAGTGTCCATAAATCAATGTCACTGTGTATATTAGTAGTCATGTCCTATAAAAAGGTGTGGACATTTATTTTCTCTCTTGTTAAAAAAGTACCTACATAATATTCTCAAGTTGGTTTCTTGGCTCACAAAGTCTAAAGTATTTACCATTTACTTATTTACAGAAAATTTTACTGACCTTCATTCTTGAAAATTCTAAAAAATAAAGCTCTCCATCAATTTCTAGAGTAAAATGCTAATTCTACTGATGTGAATGCAACACTGTGGCAAGAAAGCACAAGTTGAAAAAGTTTGACTTTAGAAACTAGTTCTAAAGTACTCGTTAAAATGTTCTTTTAAAAATAAAATTAAAAAATAAAATGTTGGAGGCATCACACTCCCGACTTCAAACTATACTACAAAGCCATAATCATCAAAACTGCATGGTATTGGAACAAGAACAGACATACAGACCAATGGAATCGAATAGAAAATCCAGAAATAAACCCACAGATTTATGGTCAACTAATCTTTGACAAAGGAGCAAGACTATGCATTGGAGCAAAGAAAGTTTTGTTCAATAAATGGTGCTGGGAAAACTGGGTCGCTACATGCAAAAGAATGAAGCTGACCACTACCTCACACAACACAAAAATCAACTCAAAATGGATTAAAGAACTAGACATAAGACCTGAAACCATAAAATACATAGAAGGAAATATAGGCGAAACACTACGGGATTTGCACATCAAAGACATCTTTACAGACACATCACCCAAAGCAGTGATAGTGAAGAGAAAGATCAACAGCTGGACTACATCAAATTAAAGAGCTTCTGCACAGCAAAAGAGACAATAACAAAACAAAGAGAAACCCACCAACTGGGAGAACATTTTTGCACCCAACACTAATGATAAAGGACTGATCACAAAAATCTGCAAAGAGCTGATGAGACTCAGCAACAACAAAGAATATAATCCAGTCAAAAAATGGGCAGAAGAGCTAAAAAGAAAACTCTCTGAAGAGGAAATGCAAATGGCCAACAGACATATGAAAAATGTTCAACATCACTTGTAATCAGGGAAATGCAAATCAAAACTACCATGAGATACCATCTCACACCAGTGAGAATGGCACATATTAAAAAAAACTAGCAACAACAAATGTTGGCGAGGATGTGGAGAAAAGGAACTCTTGTGCACTGTGGTGGAGTGCAAACTGGTCCAACACTAATGGGAGCTGTGTGGAGATTTCTGGACCTACTAAACATAGAGCTTCCATATGATCCAGCAATTCCACTCCTAGGTATTTACCCAAAGGACACAGAAACATCAATTCCAAAGAGCACCTGCACTCCTATGTTTATAGCAGCACTGTTTACAATAGCTAAGCTTTGGAAACAACCCAAATGCCCAAAAATAGATGACTGGATCAAGAAGATGTGGTACATATATACCATGGAATATTACTCAGCATTCAAAAAAGATAAACACATGCAATTTGCAGCAACATGGATGGCACTGGAAGGGATCATGCTCAGCGAAATAAGCCAAAAAGAAAAAGAAAAATACGGATGGTCTCACTCATAGCAGGAATCTAGAAAACTTAAATAAGGGACCAGGAAAATGAATATAAGAAAGTGAAAATCAAAATCAACAAA